TAAAGGGGGAGGGGCCATCTGAGGTTAGAGTAAAGGGGGAGGGGCCAGCTGAGGTTAGAGTAGTAGAATTTGCATGGAGTGAGAGGGAGAAAACTTGAGTACAGGCAGCAGGGAAGCATTTACAAGAGGCGTGGATGGTAAAAGATTGCAGGTGAAGATTTAATACGCATATGAAATTATTTGTTTGCTGTTGATAACAACTCCACGAGGAGGAGACCGTGTCCGCTTTCTAGATAAGGAAACAGGCTCCCAGGTTTCAGTGTTATAGACAGTGCCCGAGCTGCTCTTGGAGTCCACGTTTCTCTTCAGCGCAGCTGCTATTGTTGCAGAGTGTAGACATGTTTTCCTCGATAACTTTCTTTTCTTCTTTGACCTGTGGCATTTGGTGAGTTTGCGTCTTGTACAGTCACCTTGAGAGAGTCGCTTGATTTTCTGTAAAGATCTGCATTAACCTTTCTGCCCGTTCTGTTTCCATTGCTTTCTAGTGGAGAGGAATAGAGTAAGTATCACCCACAGTTGCCTGCTAATGCCTTCTCTTTATCCCTTAAGCCATTTGTCTTGTAAAACACCCTGGTTTTTGGCATACAAGACCCATGTTTGATGTGATTTCCTTGTTATACCTTAGAAGGGAGGGTTAAAGAGATGCTGAGATGAAACAAGTCCATGCTTGGGAAACATGGACAAAGATAGGTTTCTTTCCTCGGTGTCGTCACCAATACTGTGGCATTGTGGCCCGGGTTGCCCTTCCATGTCCAAAGGCCTACTGGCCTGCTGAGAACTGGATTCCACAGGATCACAGGCAGCTGATGGAGAGTCAGACTGACAGTTTACCGGGGTGCATGTAACTATTTTGTGGGCCATCCTTGTAGGACTCAGGAGGGAAGCCAGTAACGACCACTAGACTGCAGGTTCAGCAAGGGAAGTTAGGCCCCTGGTATAAATGCAGGTGACCTCACTCCCAGTGGTTCCATCTGCCACAGGCTCTAGTCCTTCTAACCTGTCTGTAGGACAGCACCATGCTTGTCAGTGCTCCCTGCAAGCTGTTGGACATAACGCTCTGACTTACTTTTCTATGTTTGTGTCACCGTCTTTATGTGGTACTGTTCCTGTCTTCCTCACATCTTCTCCCTCCCACGTTACCTTGTTAGTATGGATTCGGACATATCGGATCCATGCATGTGCTGACAGACTTGGTTTCGAACCAGCAATTCCTGAGACCTTGAGGCACCCGTTAAAGGAACGTGATGGTAACAGTGTAGTAATCACTAGGTCATTGGCTTGGTTTATGTAATTTGGGAAACGTTTCAAATAAGGAAACATTTGTGAGAATTGTTTCTATGTCATAGCCAAAATCAAATAATTTCTTGCACACTGCTTTAGCCGTGAATCTGAAATAGAAAAACAGAAGCCATCACATTCATTAGTTTTCCTCCTTCGTGAGTTAATTGTATCTGTAATCATTCGGCTTTTTCTTTCTCCCCTCCAGTTTCCTTTCTTGTACATTTTATTTTCCATTAGCTCTCTAAAAGAGGACAGGGAGACAGGTTGTAGTATTATTAGCGATGACAAAAAATTGATGAGGGACCTTTAACACTGGGTCTGGGGTTTACCCCTCAGAGTATTTTTAGGTTATTCCTGTCTCTGACATCATGGCAATGGAAAAATGAGTGTTTCAATTTTCAGTCCCAGAAGCACCAGATCGACCTACTATCTCTATGGCATCAGAGACCTCAGTCTACGTCACCTGGATTCCCCGAGCAAATGGCGGCTCTCCCATCACCGCCTTCAAGGTGGAATATAAGCGGATGAGAACTAGTGATTGGCTGGTGGCTGCTGAAGACATCCCGCCTTCCAAACTCTCTGTGGAAGTTCGGAGTTTAGAGCCAGGTAATAATACTGTGTTGTTGTTGTTGTTATTTGTTACAATAACAATTTTTTATTTTGAAAATAAAATATGAAGAAGAGAATAAGTTATGTCAACTGTACCCATCCGTACACACTGTTTGTATATTGTTATATTTCTTTCTAGCATTTTTTTCTCTGTGTATTTCTATGCCCTAGGATCTTGTCATAAATAAAATTTTACGTCCCTCATTTTATGTCTAACTTTGTAAGTGTATCATACTTTGCTTAACTATTTTTCTTGGCCTTATTTCAGTGGTGGAAATTGAAGCCAAGGCCTTGTCCATGCTAAGCAGGCACTCTACCTCTGAGTTACATTCTCACCCCTTAACCATTCTTTAGTTCTAGATTTTAAATTGCTTCTCCAATCCCAATTCCTGAGTCTATTAAGAATATTATCTGTAAGAGAGAAAAAAGTATAAATAAGCTTATACTTTTGTTTGGGTTCGTGGCCACTTTTGCATTTGGAATCTTGAATATGGACAAGCGTTGTAGACGTCGGTGTCTAACTTAGTTGGGAGAAGGCAGCAGTTTTAGATGTGTAACATTTTCTGAACTGAAAGCTTTCCAGCAGTGGTATTTGGGTGATAAGGAAACTTGCTTTAGGATTTTAATTTATTCTTTAGATGCATCATAGCTTTGTTCTAATTTTTTTTTCTAAGTTACATGTGTTTTGTTTTTTCCCCATTCCCCAAGGTTCAATATACAAATTTAGGGTCATTGCCATCAACCATTACGGTGAAAGTTTTCGGAGCTCAGCGTCCCGTCCTTACCAGGTGGCCGGCTTCCCAAATCGATTTTCCAACCGCCCAATAACTGGACCTCACATCGCATACACAGAGGCTGTCAGCGATACTCAGATCATGCTCAAATGGACGGTACGTGCGTGAACATCTTCCTAGTGAGATGTCATGTGAGCAGTGTAGTGTTCGCACGGTGTGATGCTCGGCGCTGCTGACCGTTTAACTGCAGAGAAATGGAAGGGCACTGAGGTTTGTCTGCAGCACACATTCTCAGAGACAGGGTGAACATGGCGTTAGTGTTTCTTCTGCTCTCCTCCAAATGTGCTTAACTTAATTAACCGTTTATGCTTTATTGTTTTTGAACCAGTGTACATTTATTTCTGAAGCTAATGAAATGTATACTTATTTTTTTTATTTGTCTCTGTAGTAAGCTAAATGCTCATATACCTTTGAATAACCTTGAGTCAGGTTTTAAAAATGGCCACTACGTATACTGCAATGCAAAGCTAGAGAAACATTGCCATACAGATAGGGAGATTAGGACATTACTTTTACCTTTGCTTCTGTTTTCCAGTATATTCCATCAAGTAACAATAACACGCCCATTCAAGGATTCTATATCTATTACCGACCAACAGACAGTGACAATGACAGTGATTACAAGAGGGACGTTGTGGAAGGTAAGTAAGTCCCTTGCTAAGCTGGGACCCTTGCCCAGATGGGGAGGGGCTAAATATTACCCAAGATGGGGAGGGTCTAAACATCACGAACCCATCTTCACAGGCTAAGACTGAGTTAGAAACGAGCTGGTATGTGCTGTTAAGTTTGTTCCCGTGTAACCCAAATTTCCCAGTCTCTTCCCCCCCGACCCCCCCCAACAGTGCCCTGATTATAAAAGTATGGGAGAAGATAATTTGTCAGTAGTTCATCTGAAAAAGATTTTGACTTTGTTTTTTTACTTTTCTAATGACCTGAATGTATAAATCAGTTGCAGCTTCTTACCAAATTAAAAAAAAAAAAAGTCTTGCTCAAACAGTTTGTATTAGGTCGGTCACATATTAAGCATGCTACCCACCTTCAGAGATGTTGAGGAGTTGGAGTGTTTTGTAGAAGAAACAAGAAACAGCCCAGGTATGAAGGGTGTCAACACTGCTCCTTGGCTGCATTTACAGTACAGTCTCGAATGTTGCCTGTGGCCTGGTAGCTGCTCTGACCTACTGACCTACTGACCTACTGTCCCTCAACTCCATCGACAGCCGTGCCTTTTGTATCTTTTTGCAAGTGGAGATGTTGACACCAGCCTCCGGTCCTCCACGCAGGATAGTTTCTGCTTCCCACCATTCCCCTTTCCTAACGATTCTCGTGGGTGTTCACGCACTCCTCTGTTGGGACTTTGCGTGCCTGTTCCTCAGACGAGATCTTGGCCAAAGCGTTAACCCAAATTAAACCCTTTGTGCTTATTTCAGTGTTCAATCGAAGTCTAGATATATGAACATGAGTATTTGACATTAAATATTTCCCTTACTAAATATTAACTTACTTTAGACATGGGATCTTTGTTCCCTTTGCTGGATTCTCAGCCCTTTCAATGGCGAGGTATTCGGTATTGGATGAGTTAAAGGACAGATATGTGAATGGAGACCAACCGGAGAGCGTTGGAGCGTCTGTCGGGGAGCTGCTTCAGTCGAGACAGATGCTTATGAGGAAGTGATAGAGAGGAGAATTTTCTTACATAAAAGTCGAGGTTCCCTCACAGTGTGATAGGTTCCCTGAGTCTGGAAGCCTCCAGTATAAGCTGGATGCTCCGTTCTTGGTAATATTTTACCAAGATGGGATTCTTGGTGTGAGAGGAAAATTTCTTCCAAACTGTTGGGAGTCCAGGAGTCTGATCTTTTGAGATAGTGAATGTCTTGGTTGGGTTTATAATTCAGTGGTAGAACATGTGCTTAGCATGGGCCAGGCCCTGAGTTCTATCTCGTACATATATTCATTCCTGTATACATAAATACATATTATAACAAATCTTGTCAGAAAATTGCTCTAGGCCTAGGATTCACCTCGTGACTTCCTGCCATTAAATACATAATTTTTTATAATCAGTTCATGCTATCTTCTATCAAATGTTATAGTGTTTTGGGGGATTTTAGTTTTTATATTTATGAATATTTTGACCACATGTGTATCACATGTATGCATGGTGCCTACAAAGGTCAGAAGAGGGTGTCAGATCCCCCGGCACTGGAGTTGTGGATAGTTAGTTGTAAGCTGTCATGTGGGTGTTGGAACAAAACAAGGTCCTTGAAAAAATGAACAAGTTCTCTTCACTGTTGAACCGTCTTTCCAGCCCATGTAGGATTTCTTTCAGGACATATTCAGTGGAGTTACTTACGTAACATAATAAAAACTTAACAGTCTTGACTCTTATTTAAATGAAGGAATGGCTCTTTCTCTTTTTCTGTAACTTTCAGTGACAAACTTGTCCTGTGTTCTCAGAAGTCAGGGTGATAGCCATCTTGAGGGAGAGAGTGGGATGCAGCGGTGTTCTCTTGGTGGGCTAGACATCGGTGCCCTGGGTGTTTGCTTTGTGAACGTTCAGTGCAGTGTACTTAAAGTGTGTGGCTCATCAGTTTGCATGCTTTCTGTCAATCAGAAGGCTGTTAGAAAAAGCAGAAAGATAATTACGACTTCTGCCTTTTGTTCTGTCCTCGTCTGTGTTTTAGTTTGGATGATTTAGAAGAATGTGGATATCAGATTTTTATTTTTAAATACTTTTGACATCGGTTAAACATTTGGCGTAAGATGGTTCTAAACAGAGCAGATGTAAGATGACATGGACAGCTCTCTCTGTGTCTCTCTCACCCTCGCCTTCCTTCTGTACTTTCTAGGAATCCCTGTGCTTTAACTGTTTTTAAACTGTGCTCTTTAGAGGTATCTGAACTTTTACAGACCTCTGTGATGGGCATGTGGGCCTGGGACTAGAAGAGGGCTTAACAGCGTGTCATGTGTAGCAGTGCTCGTGGTGGGACTCTCTTAGTTCTCAGCAAGCTTGTTTATAAATGGAGCACACCGAGCAGTTGGATGTTTAAGTGGGATCCGCTGTGCTGTGTAATTTGCTTATTGCTTATTTTCATTTTGAAATTCTTTCTGTGGCAGTTGGAGCTCTTGGTTTAGTCTTCCGAAACCAGGAACAAAATACTTCTTTAAAATATGTACCTAAAATTTTCTTAAAAGGTTTGGATACTTATGTGTGTATTGATCTGAAATTTAGGGCCTCGCTTTCTCTAATGAGTCGATTATAAAGACTACAATAAGAACACTTATATTTCTTACAGTGTCTGATCTTCTAATTCTTTGCCACATTTAGATACCTACAAATGTTCTCACCCCAACAGTGTTTTCCTGTGGAGTATTTTTGTCTTGTTAAGTGGAGTTCTAAAGAAATCAGTGTATGAATCACTCTGCTCTGCAGTTCTAAGCGGGAATCTTAGCAGAAGGTTTACACTCACTGACTGGCTTTAGATCCAACAGTGCACATAGCTGCCTCACTTACCAAATATAAAAATCCCTTCCCTTCACCAACCTATAGATTTTACTGTTGGAAAGATTGGACACAACAATGAAATATAAATCTAAGAAGGTGTATATTGTAACTGTTTTCTCCTAAAAAACCGGTCAGAAGCTTAACCCCACTGTTATTAGTTCTCTGAAGTCTCTCTAGTTCTGTGGGTCTAATGGAAATGTTTGTAGGTGGGGTGTAGAACCAGGAAAGCCCAAAAGGTAGAGTAAGAAATACTCTTATGGGATGTCTTAGCATTTTAGAAATAGGCTCATTCTACCTTCAACCAGTTCTTTAATGAAAGAAAAACCAACCAACCAACCAAAAACAAAAGCATGTTGGGACGGGGGAGGTCTCTTTACAAGTATATATGTGCATGTGCGTGTGCGTGTGCGTGTGCGTGTGTGTGTGTATAAGTATATATATGGAGTCTAGAACCCACTCCTACAGCCCCTCAGAGACACTCGATCTCAGACTATCGGATTTTCTCCCCTGTAAGATGTGGGTCTGTGTGAACGAGGGTTTTTTTGTGCTAGTGACTTGGAAAAAGGCTGAAATGTTTTTGTCTGTGTTGAATTAGAAAGGAGCCTGGGATACTGGTCCTGTCAGCCAAGCAGATTTGACTTATGCATGTGGTGTGTTTTTTTTTTTTTGTTGTTGTTTTCTTTCCCTTTAATTAATTCTTAAATTGGTTGGTGGCATACTTGGATTTCTAGGAAACGTTGGAGACAGTCTGAAGAGTCATTTTCTAAAAGGGATTAGGAGTGCTTGAAGAGTTAATTAAATCTGGCAAAAGTGTCCCTGTTTATGAAAGTTTGTCACAGATCCATGAAAGTGAAAACGGAGGGTGATTTACACTGGAGTGCTGGGTTTGGGAGTGTTTCTAAATGAAACCTTGGCTGCATGCCACAGATAACAGAATCCTAATAGTGGAGACACTTGTGTGGTTCTGAGTCCCCGACTCAAAAGAAACGTGGTCAGGAGCGGCGGCGGCTGAGGGTTCCCACTGCAGAGTTTACCTTCTATGGATGCTCAGCACTTTATTAAGGTGTTCGACTGTCGGCCTGTGATGTGTCCGTGGTAATGGAAGAGAGTTCTGTGAAAGCCTTTTCTGCAGCTGGCCACCTTGTCAGGGCCACGTACTGCTTGCTGTCATCTGTACCATAGCTTTTTAGTAGACAGGTATAGTGACTGGTCTTGCTGGGCTGAAATGAGGATTTGAGATGATTTTCCTCTATGCCACTAATTTTTAATAAAACCAGTATTGCTACCAATACACAGATACGCTTTATGAGTTCATCTCATTGCCTCCTTTACACGCCACTTAGTAGAAATGCTATTCATCCGTGATGCAGCAAAAAATACTTACATGGAGTTTGTGTGTGTGTGCGTGTGTGTATGTGTGTGTGTATATATATATATACGTGTGTATATATATATATATATATATATATATATATATATATATATATATATGTATATATATATTCATTTCACAAGCTGTATGAAATGGCAGGGGGGATTCTGTAAATCTCATTCTGAAAATTCCCAATTAAGCACATTCGTGTCATCCAGGCTGTGTGACATCTACGGCTAGTCTCTCGCCTCTCTTCTCTAGGTTCAAAGCAGTGGCACACCATTGGTCACCTGCAGCCGGAAACCTCCTATGACATCAAGATGCAGTGCTTTAATGAAGGAGGGGAGAGTGAGTTCAGCAACGTGATGATCTGTGAGACCAAAGGTAGGAGAGCCTTGCGTTTCTCCCTGGCCTGGTTACTAGAATTCCAAGCTCTAGATCATGTCTTAAAGTTACTGACCTATTTCCGTGTGCAGATTTCTGCTTTGGATGAGTTCCAAATGAGTTTACATACACATGTACCTGATAGAAGTACATGCTTGTCGGCTAGAGCGTTTATCTAAAAAAAAAAAAAAAATGTCTCCACAAACATTAATGGCTCCCATTACTTTCCATGTGACTATATGTAAGTCACTTCTTTTTTTCCTGCTCTCCTAGAAGAGAGTAGAAATATTTTGCTAACTGCTTTCTATGAAAATTGAAATATCAGTAAGAGTATAGAAGATTAAGGAGAAGTACCACACCTGTGTTACAGATCTGATAATTCAGGTCTGAGGCTGGGAATTGAGGAAAGGGAGATTGGCTAGCTCTCAGCTTTCCGTGTCAAGGGTACTATGCTAGCTGGTGTCAGTTCAGCTCTGTGAAGGCCTGTGACAGGTGGCTTCACCATGGTAGGAGTACACACAAGAGGGACTGATCAACTGGGAAGCCAGAAAGCCCAAAAGGCCAGACACGGGCCAGACCTGTTCTTTGATAACAGCACCCTTATGAGAACTAACTAGAACCTCAGCAGTTCCTTTTGAGTCAGGGACCCGGGACTCTCCTCTAGGCTCTCCGCCTTTTCAAGGTCTCGCCACCTCTTAACATGGCTACATTGGGGACCAAGCTACCAGCACAGCAATCTGCTTAAAGCCGTTTCTTGAATGACAGATAGATGTACTGGATACATCTTTAAGTATGTGCCCTATTAAGTCTAAGGTAGCAGTGACAGATTCTAAATTCTCACTCTAAACTCTGCCTACACACAGCGTACTATAAAAGGAGAAGCCACACACGACAATAGGAGAGATAGCTAACCTGGATGTTTATAAAGCAGACCTGAAGGTCTGTGTATCACCCTGAGGCTTTCTCAAAAGTCCCTGCTGGAAATCTCGGGTGTCCCAGTTCTTAGTGAGAAGTAGGGAACCAGGTCTGAGGTCATTTAGGAGGTTCTCTGCCTTCTCTTTCCTCCTTGCCTGGGTGTCAGTGAGGCCCTAGGTGCAATACTGCTTATAGTAAGCAGATCTGGCTTTACAAGTGGTCAGGCTGAGGTCTGGCAATGCCTATTTCTAAGTTCTTCTCCTTCCTCCTCCTCCTCCTTCTTCCTCCTTCCTCCTCCTCCTTCCTCCTCTTCTTCCTCCTCTTCCTCTTCTTCCTCTTCCTCCTCTTCTTCTTCTTAATCATCAATAATCTTTCAATCTCCTCCTCCTCTTCTTCCTCCTTCCTCTTCCTCCTCTTCTTTCTTCCTCTTCCTCCTCCTCCTCCTCTTCTTCCTCCTTCTCCTCTTCCTCTTCCTCCTCTTCTTCTTCCTCCTCCTCCACTGGGTCTCATGTGTGCCAGACTAGCCTTGCACTCACTATGTAGCCTTGAACCTCCGATCCTCTTACCTAAATGCTGAGATTATAGGCTACAATTATATGCTACATCATATTCAGTTTGTGGTGCTGGTGCTCAAACCCAGGGCGGATATACTACATCTCCAGTCCTTAAGGATCTTTTAAAGAAGGCTTAGGTTAGCACTGAAGAAGGAAGTTGTCGAATATTCAGGGTAGCCATCAGTGTCTGCTACAGTTGTTTTTGTTTGAACTAAGGAAATGAATAAAACGAGGAGACAAATACTTGAGATTGAATTGCAAAGCCAGGCTTACTCTGCTCTCATAAAGTTTCAACCATGTGTCTTTCTGCTAAAAAAAAAGTCTCCCATTAAATCCACGTTCAACATCTGTTCACCTGGACCTGATTTCAAGTTTCATTTGGTTAGCGAATCCATGAATACCTCTGTGAAGCAGACACTGTAACAGATGCGGTACGATTTCTTGCTTGTTTCTAGAGTGCTCTGATGCTTAAAATAACGAACGATGTCAGCTCTTTACCAGGAACGTTAAAACTCTTACCAGTCAGGACTGGAGAGATGGTTGTTCTTGCAGAGCACAGAAGTTGGTTCCCAGCACCTATGTAGGGTGGCTGTAACTCCAGCTCCAGAGGATCCAACACTGTCTTCTGGCTTTTAGGGGCATCTGAGCACACATGTGCATACACACACACACACACACACACACACACACACACACAATCATGTATGTAAATCTTGCCAGGCACAATAGGAAACAATTCTGGTATAGGGTTGCAGCTCTGAGAGAAGGTACCTGCTTAGCATATAGAAAGTGGTGCCTTCCATCCCCAGCACTGCAAAAAGGAAGGGGCTAAAAGTGTTCTAATGTGTTTTCTAGTCATACGGCCGTGTTCAGAACAGCATGCTTCATTATCTGCTGCAGTTTACAGCCAGTAGAAATGTATTGACTGGAGGCTGGGAAGTCGGAGCATAGTGCTGACAGTCTGGCAAAGGCCTCCAAATGCCGTATGGTGGAAGAGCAAAAGAATGAGACTGAACCAAAAAGCTCCAAATTCAAACCCACTTCTATATGACCAACCCTTTCTTGTAATAACAGCATCGATCTGTCAGTGGGGATAAAGCCCTTATGACCTAATCATCAATTCTACTCCCTAATGCTGTTAGCATGACGGTTATGCTCCCACCTGGGTTTGGAGACAGCCAAACAAACATAGGACTCTTTGTCACAGTTTTAAGATGGATCCTGTAGCATGGTCCGTGGGGTGAAGTGATGGAGCAGTAGAGCTAAGTTTATTTATACCCAGGGATCCTGCCTCCTGAGAATGGGCTGTCAGCCACCATAGTCCGCTCATGACAGAGTGGGACTTTACTATGACATTTAGAGCAGTAAGAACACGTGACTCACAAACAGGAGAATGGGATGTGTATCACACTTGTGGAATAGCATTTGTGATCACAGTTGCCCAGAATACCCATGAAGTAGCTAAGAGGCCTGTGGACTCTGGTGGGTTTCATTGGGGATGCTTATGGGACACATGGGGTTTTTGGACTACGTGTAGATGCTATAGTAGTTTGAAGCTAATTGTTTAATGTTGAGAATTCCTTTTTTTTATGGTAGAAGAATAAGACACTAATTCCAAGTCTTACTGAGAGGGAAATATATCACATAGAATAAGAGTCTTTGTTTGGTTTTTGTTTTTGTTTGTTTGTTTGTTTGTTTTGATTTTTCTGTCTATAAGTTGAACTATTTTATTTCAACCATGGGAGTTTCTGCGAGTACAGTTCAGCAGATCATCATACAGCTGTTTAGGTCAAACCAATTTGTATGTTTCTTGGCTCTTAGAATTTCTCAAAATTTGTGGACCAAAACTTTGGCAGATCAGAATTTCACATTTGGATCCTTCTCTGTGACTCATTGGTGGTCAGATCGTCTCTGTAAGGAGTCTAAACAGACCGGCTTGCATTCCTAGCCAGACCTCCTTCAGAGTCTATTTCGTAAGCTCTGTATTCACTCTTAACTTAATTTTTTTTTAAAAAAAAATATTCCGTGCAGTGAAACGTGTTCCCGGAGCTTCAGAGTATCCCGTGAAAGAGCTGAGTACGCCTCCCAGTTCTTCAGGAAATGGAGGGAACGTGGGGCCTGCAGCCAGCCCTGCCAGGAGCAGCGATATGTTGTACCTCATCGTTGGCTGTGTGCTTGGGGTTATGGTCCTCATTCTTATGGTTTTCATTGCGCTGTGTCTGTGGAAGAGTCGCCAACAGAGCGCCATACAGAGTGAGTCATTTCTAAGTATTTCCTTGTCTTTCTCTAAAGATGGGTAGAAAAAATATTGTCAGAGTAAATATTGATTCCTAACACTCTCATGTATTTGTGCCATGGAATGGAAGCTGTTAGATGCTCTCCACTCAGGGGAGGTGACTTTAGAACCATTCGTGCTGCCAGCCAAAGCATGTGGGAGCATCAAATTAAATTGCCCAATAGAAATAAACACCAAAGCCAAAGCTAAAGCAGGTCTCCAAGTAAATAGCCGTGTTGGTGATGGGAAAGCCTGGCTTTGCTGGACCACCAAAGGGGATGAACGTCAGCTCTGGAATCCACCGTAGGAATGTCTTCAGGCTGGTGCGAGTCTAGTCAACAGGAAACAGAAATGGCTTGATGGAAAGGGAGACTTTTCTAAGTTACTGTCATAGTGTGTCATGAGCAGAGATAACATGGTCCTGCCTCTGTCACTGCTGTACCCAAACCACTCTGAAGTTGCATATTATCTCCCAAATACATCAAGTAAGAGGTGTGAGTGTAAGGTTGACAATGATACTGTTTCAACGCCAACAGCCTTCCTTTCCTGTCTCCAACTATTTGAAACATTATAACCAAACCAAGCTGGGATATCAGACTTTGATGAGGAGAAGATTCTCCTGTTTGGACCAAGGATAAGGAAATGAAAGCAAGAGGAAACCAATAGTGACAAGTATTTCCAGGGACCACTGTCCAGTTCTCCCCTTTTAAGTTAGAAGCTCATGAAAATAAAACCATCCGTTTTGATCAGACCATACTTTCCAAAAGAGGCGTGACTGGATTGGGCATGTCAGGCTGCAAAGTATGTGCCATGTTCTAGATGGTTCTGATGTGTTGCTTTAAATCCTGTGTGTGTGTTGAATAGTAAACCATTGTTCTAGTTATCTGAGCAAGATCGATCTGATAAGTAATTTTCCTCCGTGATGATAATATTTTTTACAAAATAAAAAGTTCTCAAGAGAGTGTTTATTCGGCCATTTGTGCCACCAGAAGACACTCATTTGTCTCCTGCTTGTCAGACATTGCTAAACGATGGCGATCAACTGATGAGGGCCTTCTCCGAAGGAGCACAGATTAACTGGCACAGGAGGATATGAACCTGTGGGAGAGAGCAGGATAAGGAGGAAGTTGGAGAGGACTTAGCAAGAACCAGGAAGCAGATCAGTATAGTTTTGAGGCTAGGGTTCTTAGGGTTAACGTGGCTTTTCCTAAATGTATCCGGCAAATGTGCCTCGGGAAATCAGAATTTGCTGAGAGCTTTAAACATAAGGACTAGAACTGCCTTTTCTGTCTTTGGTACCTCACACCCTCGGCATGCAAGATGACAGGAGATGCTACTGAAGAGCCAGCAAATGGACACATCTTATTCTGTTTTTACCTAAAAGTGCTGCTTCCTGCTGTTTAAAATGTTTTTTTAAAGATTTATTTATGTATGTATATGAGTGTTCTATTTGCATGTATGCCTGAATGACAGGAGAGGGCATCAGATCCCATTACAGATGGTTTTGAGCCACCATGTCGTTGCTGGGAATTGAACTCAGGACTTCTGGAAGAGCAGCCAGTGCTCTTAACTGCTGAGCCATCTCTCCATCCCAAATGTTTGTTTGTTTGTTTGTTTGTTTACTTATGATTCTGACAATTATTTTGAGCTCTTGAAGTGTGTAGGATTGGAGGATTCGCCCCTGCACAATCTATTCCCTTGGGAGCGACTTCTCCCTGGTAAACTTCCTTCTATTAGCGGAGTGTGAGCTAACTCAGCATTCCGAGCTACTCCTCACTGTAAAGAAAAAGCGGGGGGCTGGAGAGATGGCTCAGTGGTTAAGAGCACTGACTGCTCTTCCAGAGGTCCTGAGTTCAAATCCCAGCAACCACATGGTGGCTTACAACCATCTGAAATGAGATCTGATGCCCTCTTCTGGTGTGTCTAAAGACAGCTACAGTGTATTCATATATAATAAATAAATAAATTTTTTTTAAAAAAAAGAAAGAAAAAAAAAGAAAAAGCGGCAGCAACTTTACCAAGAGCTTCGTGAGAAGAGCTTGGCGTATTTTATTTTAGTCTTGATTGTCATCTCTCAGTGATTTCATGAATCAAAGTTTTCAACAGGAAGATTTTTTTCCTTCAGTATCTGACTTTGTTTTTTCCTTCTGGATGTGTCTGTTCTTTTTAACAGAATATGATCCTCCAGGATATCTCTACCAGGGGTCAGAGGTTAACGGGCAGATGGTAGAGTATACTACTCTGTCAGGAACGGCCCGGATCAATGGGAGTGTCCATGGAGGCTTCCTCAGCAGTGGCTGTTCTCACCTCCACCATAAAGGCCCCAATGGAGTCTCTGGGATCCTGAATGGAAGCATAAATGGAGGGCTTTATTCTGCACACACAAACTCCCTAACCAGGACATGTGTGGAGTGCGAGCATCCTCACCATCTAGTGAATGTAAGAGAACTCATTATAAATGCATGACTGTCTGGGTCCCAGTGTGGCAGGGTACAAGGACCGGTGAGCATGTCTGACTTCTGTCACTGTAGACGCCCCTAAGTCATGTGGGTAGGCATGCTGTGTGTCTCTAGCAGCTCCAGATCCAGAGTAACCTTCATCGGTTTTCTGTCATCAGTAATAGCCGATTACTGTCAGCTTTTTCTAGCTTTCGATTATTTACCGCAGAGTGGAATGCGGGCAGGAACACATTGAGGGTTATTCTTGAGACAGAATGGAACTATGGCTGAGCAAAGACCAGGCCAGATGGTTCACATTTGATTTACTAGGAGCTGAGTCTGAGAACCCAGTGCTGTTAGGTCTGGCAAATGAAGGAGTGGACTGCATAAATATAGGGGGAAATCACCAGATGCTAGAATAGTACTCAGATTCTCTTTTCTTCTGTGCTGGAGACGGGACCTGGGGCTTCTGCCATGGTAGGTAAGCGTTCTACCACTGAGTCACCCCCAGTCTATGAAGACCATGCCAAAGATCTCCACAGGCTGCCAGCTTAATGACTCCTGACCTGTCATGAGTTTGTTTGTTTTGTCCCATACTATTTTGAACCCTGTAGCTTATAAGCTTTATACATTTTAGAATATTAGCATTTTTCAGCCACAGGAGGTCTGTGGCAAGCCCTTGAGACTTCCTTATTTCTGAGATAAATAATACTGTTTTTTTGTTTGTTTGTTTGTTTGTGATGGGACTAGAATGACTGGTGTAGTTTAAACAATGCTACTTACAGGGTTCATACAAGCTGGAAAAGTTAAGGGTTTTTTTTTTCCATCTTTAATTTAGTAAAGGTATTGAAATACTAGATTTACAGAATAAAACTTTAAGGTGTATTTGTATCATAAAGCTAAAAAAAAAACCTATGGCTTTGTGACTGGATTTTTGTACATTCTACAAAGCATATCATTAACAAAGAATAAGAATTTCATTATTTTGTGGAGCAACTCATGGCTTACCTTCAGACTTCCTGACCGGCTTTGTCACCGTTCCTAGTTCACGCCTAACCTCGGTCAAGGAATCTGATGGAGAGAACATTCAACTGGGGACAGTATGTGCTGTTTCTAAAAGGAGGAACCCTAAGATGATGCTACCCACAGAACCAACTTGTCACTTAGATGAGCACTGCCCCATTAGGTGACAGGTTTAGAAGTTGTCAGCTATGGTTCCAACAAAACTTTCCATTTTCTTACTTTTCTCAAAGAAAAAAAAATAAAGAAATTAAAGTCTTACTAGTCATCATGAAAATCACTGATTTGACTTTAACCAATTCAGCAGTTCTTGTAAATGACATCATTTTCCTGAACTGCTGGAATTTGCCCACGTGTACTGAATGTAGTCTAGGATGGTCTTTCTCTGTTTTCCTAATCATTCCTGTTGTTAGGTGGATCAGGGTTACTGAAAGAAGTTTCTAGTCTTGGTTTGCTTAGGTTCTGGCCGTTGTTACAAGATAAATGAAATGCAAAGTGTTCGAACAAAAGCAATTGCCTGAATCTTTTCTAACCTTGAAGCCTGCTTGAGGTTTGGGTACACTGTGATAACCCCCCCACCCCCTTCAAATTCAGCTCTGCTGTTTCTCTTCAGAAAGCAGAACCCTGAATCTAAGGCCAGTCAGCCTGTAACTTCCTGTTTGCCATTCTGTATGTCAAGTGAACCATTTTACAATGAGGTATGTGTTAATCTGGGCATTTTCCTTAATTGCTGAGCGTTTTCTGCCAAAAGCAACATCAGAATATTAATATTCCCTCTAAGTCATTGCTGGCTGAGAGTCTACTCCATCTGGAAAGACATGACGTCTTAAAACAGTGCAGTCAACTGAACAGACCCACTCGAAATAATTACAGGAAAACGAAGATGGGTTGATCTTGTGACATCATTCAAACAAACTTTACACCCTGTCTCTCTAACGGGTGTCACATAAGCTTTTTCCATGACTGTTAGAAAAGAAAACATAAGTGGGTGCTTATGATATATTTTAAGGCATAAATTTGAAATACTCCAAGGAAGTGACTAACCTCCCTCCATTTAGTTGCCTTTTTCCAGTACAGAGGCACCTGGAAGAATGTAGCAGCTTAGCTTTCGGGGTGTAGTGTAACATTGTGTCGGCTCACTTGTGAATAAGTACTATGTATTACGTTACTCAGGCAGTGTGTGAAAACGTAACATATACCCACTTGTTATCAATATGTATTTGTGGTTATTTGGCAAATGGTCTCTGGCTTCTTCAGCTTCTTTTTTTCTTTCTTCTTGAATGCTGTCCTGTTCAGGGTGGAGGAGTGTACACAGCCGTCCCTCAGATTGACCCACTGGAATGCATTAATTGTCGGAATTGCCGGAACAACAATAGGTATGTTAGCGTGTGCCCAGCCGCGGTGCCGTGACCAATGCATTCTGTGCTGCTGCTGCTTCAATGTTTTCCTAAACTTAACCTCTGACATAAAGCTCCACCACCCTCAGTGTAAGACTGTTAATATTGGTTTTTCCTGCTCTGTAGTTGTCACCTTTCCGTGCCTCAGTTTCATCAGACATGTAGTGACAATCTTAGACGCTTTGTTTCTTAACAGCATTGTTGAAGGGCAGGGTCCTTCTCTATATGCAGTTTTTGTCTTTTCCCATTTCTTAATTTCATGCCTGTGTTGGGATGAGGATAAATGCAGTCGATCATGTTTTAAACAGTCAACAAAACAAAACCATCTCCTATCTATAAGGTAATTTTCCCCATAATAGTGCTGAAATCTTCCTACTAGATTATGCAGTGTCTCTCTCTCTTTCTCTCTCTCCCCCCCCCCCCCTCTCTCTCTCTCTCTCTCTCTCTCTCTCTTTCTTTCTTTCTTAATTCTTAAAAATTTTAAGATACTTAAGAATTTTTACTTGTACCATGGTGGTATATGCCTTTAGTCCCAGTACTTAGCAGACATAGGCAGGTGATCTCTGTGAAATTAAGGTTAGCCTGGTCTACCCAGTGAGTTCCAGGACAGTCAGGCTACATAGAGAGACCCTGTCTTAAAACAAAAACCACAACAAAATTGTAACATAGAAAATAGGCATGGTGGCACATGTCTATAATCTCAGTAACCTGTAATTTCAAATTTTGGGAGCTGTGATTAGGAGAATTACAAAGTCAAGACCAGACTGCAGTAAGACCTTGTCTCAAACACAAGCAAATGAAAATCTGCCAACATTGACACACTGAATAGCAGAAAGCTTTAATAAATAATTCCAATAGCAGACATTTGGTTACAAATCTTGATTTAAAAGAAAGAAAGAAAGAAAGAAAGAAAGAAAGAAAGAAAGAAAGAAAGAAAGAAAGAAAGAAAGAAAGCTAGCTAGCTGGGCCTGATAGTGTAAGCCTGTAATCCCAGCTACTTGGGAGTCTGAGGCAGGAGAATTCTAGGTTCAAGGCCAGCATGATATGGGTGTGAGGACTCTAAGCCGTTTCATACACTTCTGTACATATCAATTCCAAAGGATTATTGAAATTGCATAAGAAATCTTAGTTCTTTTCCATAATGATGGTATTGAATTACATAGTACTAAAAACCCATCCCACCACTGAAATCCTATAGCCTGAAAAGTTAGTCCATAAGATAGTTGACGGCAGTGTGGTGTTTGGATCATGCATTATCCAGAACGGTTCAGTCTGTAGCTTTTAAATGACATAAATGTTAATTAAGTATTATCCCTGGGAGTGAGTGATGTCAGAAGGATCTAGCCAATCATGCAGTCTAAAGCGAACCTTTTCAACACAGGCAAGCTGAGTGCACTGGAATGAAGGCAAGCCTAGTCTATGCAGGGAGACCTGTCCCGGAAAACAAGAAGCACATTGTTTTAGAAATTCTCAGAACAGAGCAATAAATCATTGCTACTTTCTGTTATTTACTTACCATGTAAAGGCTTGTAAATTAGCAAAAGCTGGCTGGCTGTTTTGTGTACTAAGAGTATTTCAGTTCTGTGACACTCATTTTGAAAATGTTCCTATATCAAAGCTGAGGCTTGGCTCAGAGATGTCACAGGGTGTCACAGTTTGTTAAGAAACATGCAAAATAATTGGTAAACCTAGGTGTGGTGTCTCTTGACAGTAAACCCGTACTTGAGAGGCTGATATGGTCAGATTGCCATGGGTCTAAGGTCAACTTGAGTTACAGAGCATGATCCTTTTTCCAAAAACCACAGGGAGGAAGTTTATGAAGCTAGCTCATATACTTGGTAGGAATCAGGTAGTTTAATGGAACAGTGGGAGGCAGAGGTTTTGTGTCTTGAGTTGTCCTTTGTGGTTCTTGTGGTCGTCACAGATTTCAACTTTCCTTACAAATTAGAGTGTTGTAATTTGGTCTAAGAATAAGTAGTCCTGGGCTTTGTCACTGTTTAAACCTGTAATCTTGGAAAATCCTCACAGGATCTCAGAGTCAGCATCCTCATCTGAACAGTGAAGGTGTGTTCTGAGTATTAGAAGACCGACCACAGTACAATATAAAATTTCGTAAAATGTCTTTAATGATGTCTCAGTGTCCAAAATAGATCACGTTTCTTTAAGAGAACTTACATGACTGCCGGCAGCTTCAGTTTGGCCATTTGTATGCACATCTGTGTAGAATTTGGTGGTTTTGTTATAAATTGTAATTGTATTTCTTTGGTTTTGAGGTTAATAACTTCCTGCATTTCAAGCTTGTTTCACTGCTATCTGGAAACAGGTGAATTCTCTTCAGCTGTGTTTTTCTCTGGCTTAAATGTTCTTCCTGCATGAAGGAACACACACAGACACACAGATATATATATGCGCACACACATACAGATATGCACAGAGACAGACAGACTCACACACACACACACACACACACACACACACACACGGAATTGTATTAATGAGTAGCTACTCTCATGTCTCCGAAACTAGAATCATTTAACTTCCCATTTCTAATGCTGTGGACGTTGTGATTGAGCATAGGTATCTGGTCTGTCAGCTTTACACTTCTGTGACAAACACCTAAGAGGGACAGTTTTAAAGGAGGAAAGGAGACAAGCCTTGCAGCACAGACCTGTAAATACCAGCTACTCAAAAAGCTGAGGCAGGAGGATTATAAATTTAAGCCTGCCTGAACTACAGAGTGAGTTCAAGGCCAGGTTGGACAATGTCGTGATACTTTGTCTTGGATATAAAATTTTAAAACCTCAAAGGGCTGGGGACAGAACTCAGTGGTGGGTTACTTGCCCGGTGTGTGCATAACCCTGAATTAAATCAACAATAACCCCCCAAAGTGGAGAAATGTATGCGTGTCTCACCTCACAGTCTCAGGAGAGTATTCACTGTCACTGGACACCACTGCTCCTGGGCTCTGACAGCTGCAGAACATCATGAGGGACTGAATTAAGCACCCTAAGAACTGGGCAGGACTTCCTTGGAGGCTCTCAGTGTTGTCTTGCCTGCCCTGCAACTTGCTCCTCCTTTTCCTTTGCATTCTCAGGTTTAAAACCCAAATGCATTTTTTAGAGTTAAGAAACCAGTTGTTGCTCACCCTTGATGAATCTCCTTTCTCATCCCTCTATTTTCGCAGTAACTCGGGAGACTGAGACTGATTCTGTTGACATAACTGGAGTACTGATGTGAATAGATTGGGGATGGACAGGATGTGGTGACACACACCTTTAATCCCAGTGCTCAGGACACAGAGGCAGGAGGATCTCTGTGAGTTTGAAACCAGTCTGATCTCCATAGTGAGTTCCAGGACAGCCATGTTGAGACAGCCAGATACAAACAAACATACAAACAAACAAACAAACAGTAATAACAACAAAAAATTGTGAACAAGCAAGACGGAAGGCACCTCTAGCACTCTAGGGAAAATTGTTACATTCCAGGACAGTCTAGGGGGGATTGTTACATCCCAGAGCTTTCTAGGGGGAATTGTTACATCCCAGG